CCCATCTTAAGGTGGACCACAGGGAGGTTATCATAGCTACAACGATGACAGCTATGGCCCCCCTCCTCCCCATCGCATGGGGCCAGGCATGGGTGGGCGTGGTCGGGGTAACCAGCGCTACGGTCCTGGATATGGACCGCCACCGCCCGAGTACGGTCCTCACGCTGACTCTCCAGTTCTTATGGTATATGGCCTGGAGCCCTCTAAGATCAATGCTGACAAGGTCTTCAACATCTTTTGCCTGTATGGCAATGTAGAGAGGGTAAGTGAAAGCTGACTGAAGCATCAAGTCATTGTTTTGCTGTTAGACCCCATAAGTGAAGGACATTTATAATATTTTGCCATCTTTCCAACAACTGAAAGGGGCGCGAAGAAGATTTGCAGACACGTGACCGCTTAGCACGCGATACTAACGTGTCAGCCATTTTGGTCGTGTACTAATCTTGAAACATTTTTTGAATATGATCATTTGAGAACAAGGCGATGCAGAATTTTGAAACTGATATATAAACTGATATATTCTTCTAGCTGTATCTGCTAGGAGGCCGAGGGGTAGCACTGAATGCTGCCAGTGTTTTGTTTTTTCCACTGAGGGCCAAATTCCAGTTTCCCCAGATGATCTTTTTTGGTTAAAGCTTTCATTTCTCTAATGGTAGGTAACACCTTACCTGCTAAGAGGGACAGATTGCTTGTTATCCAAAGCCAGCCAGCAGGCTAGTCTTTTTGTGCTTGATTGCTAACATTGCTAACAATAGCAAAAAAAAAGCCTGTTGGTTGTTGATGTTAGTGGGCTCCATTTCTAAGCTACTATGTGATGGTGTAGCTTACTGTTGATGCTGGAAGTGGGGGAAAGACAAGTCCATCCTTCAGACAATCTGAAGGTCTTTTTTGTTTGTTTTTAAAGGTAAAGGCCCATTGCAAGGAGGTGTCGGCACAAAAGTCATCATAAAAAGTTCATGTTTAAATACTGTGTGTACTGCTGGGTAATATTGTTTTGGTCTATTTTTCTTTCAGGTCAAGTTCATGAAGAGTAAACCTGGAGCAGCAATGGTGGAGATGGGAGACTGTTACTCTGTGGACAGGGCCATTACTCATCTGAACAACAACTTCCTTTTTGGACAGAAACTCAATGTTTGGTAAGAACAGCTCTCTGAAACAATTTAGAAACATCAGCACAGACTTTTAGAGATAAATTTCTCCCTTAAAAAAAAACAACAGATGCAAGACCTCTGGCCTTATTTCTTTCAGTGTGTCCAAGCAACAGGCTATTGTGCCAGGACAGTGCTACCAGTTAGAGGACAACACAAGCAGCTTTAAAGATTTCCACGGATCACGCAACAACCGCTTCACCTCACCAGAGCAGGCGGCTAAAAACCGAATCCAGCATCCGAGCAACGTCTTACACTTCTTTAATGCACAACCCGACATCTCTGCTGAGATCTTTAATCAGGTAAAAAAAAAAAAAAGCAACAAAGGTTGCTATCTGTGATGGCCAAAAGCATCCATCCGGTGTTAGTGTTGCCAACTTAGCGAGTTTTCAGACCCCTTAGCGACTTTTTTTTCCTAAAAAGCGACTAGCGACAAATCTAGTGACTTTTTCTGGTGTTATTGGAGACTTATGACGACTTTTTCACGTGAAAGCACGTATCACTCTTACTCTCAACAAGCAGCGGGTGCTGC